CTTTAACCTCTTGCGACTTTTTTGCCTCCTCCCCGCTTGCCGTGGAGTTTCCCTGAGGGTCGGAGTGTGGGGCTGAGTCAGTGGCTGGGATGTAGCCATCCGCATGTGGAGCATCCAAAGGTAGATCAGACAGCTGAGAACCAGGGGAGACTTGTTGAGGACAGGGGAGAGAGGAGCAGTCTGCGTTTGAAGTTTGCGAGGATGACGTTGTTACTACTGAGCTCTCCTGGTTGTTCTCAGGCTGCTGCAGTGCAGGTTGGGCTGGAGAGCCTGAGTCTGACAACAGATGGATAAACACAGATAGGCAAAATCCCAAAGAGACGGTAAGTGTCAGTCAGATATATTATTCAAATGATTTTTACACTGTTTTGTTCCTTACTTCTACTCATTGTTATATTACCCATCAGCTTCCATGTTCATGTTTGTTCAGTCCAACAATAATCTTTACCTAAGAATTTTTTAATCCAGCTGAGGAGTTTTGTGTGTGTGTGTGTGTGTGAGTGTGTCTACGTGTATTGACGGTGTGTATCTGGTTTCCTGTGGCTTTCTCCTGTGAATTTTATGTTCATGAATATTAACCTTTCCCCCGTCATTTGCCTGTTTTTGTTTGTTTCTCGGTCAGTGACCACCATTTGTTAAACAGAAATAGTCTCATTTGTATTTCTGGTATTAATCGAGTGGAAAATATTTGCTTCTCTGTTTCGGAAAAGTGGTTACAGTTGTATCCTGTAAATGCTGGATTTTAAAAAATACATTTACTAATAATATCAATCAATGAAGTTGCCCAGGTATGTTTATGCTGGATATAACACAAAATCAAGGTGTTTTATGGGTCTGAAAAACATTTTTCAAATGATGTCTTCTTTGTTCCTTTTCTTTTACATCACTTTTTGATAACATTTGATTTTCTTTCTATTAGTATCCTTCATTTTCATGAATTTTCATCCTTTTCCTCTGCGATCCCAATTAGTCTTCCTTTGTCACTGTGCCTCTCTGTCATTTGTTGGCTCGCTCTGCTGAAGCTCCCTCTGTTACCATCAATCAACAACCATGGCAACCACTGAATGTAACAAGCTTATCATTATGTGCTTAGAGGGAAATTGATAGGCAGCAAAAGAAAATGGGTGTGAGAGGATCAATAATGGGAAGGAGAAGCAGCCAGAGAGGACATAAAGGAAGCCAGCAATATTTTGTTGTTAGCTAGAAGGAGTAGCTGGGGGACTGATGGCAGAAATGATAGAATAGTAAACTGCAAAATCATTACTCGAATAGCAGATAAACTCAGCTCAAGAATCAATTGAAAGGATCCAGCAGCTACTGTGCACTCGTGTTTCTAAGAATTGATGGATTATGGTTAATTTAGTCTGCAAATAGATTTTTGTTTGTAACCTTTAAAATAAGATTTTTAGCTAAAAAATATTTGGGATTAAGGATAATCTCAAATATATCAAAATCAATCAATCTCGAAAGCTTTTAAGATCTCTAATTATCTCAATTTTGTGATGATTAGCAAATAAATAATGTCCTAAAAATATAGGAGTACATCACAGAAACAGCACAGCCATCAGTGATCCCTTTTTGCCCTTTAAACGAATCTTAAAACTTTCCTTTTTGATACAGGCGTGGGTAATGCTTTTTCTTAAATTCCCATCATTTTGTCATCTTGTGTATGCTCAGGAAGGGGGACTGAACTGAAGAAAAGCTGTCGATGGTGTCTTCTGGTTTTCTTATTAAGGTAACTTTCTATGAGTATTACGTAAATACTTTAAATCTTTATTTAATTTGAGTGTAATCTAGAGTGCAGTCAATTAGATTATAACCTAACTGAATTAGATTGTATCTCTAAGATGCCATTAGAAAACATTTGTAGGAAACTTGTAATATGAATAATTAGAATTTTAAATGAACCGACTTGAATTGTAATGAGACCATCTACTGTGCTTCTGTCTTGTGATTATTAACTGTATTCTCTTGTTTGATTTTACATGGGCTTCCATGACTTTTGAATTGTTCGCTATTAAAGTGTAAATATTTTCTAACATAATAAAGAAACTGCATACATGCTGAAAATACATACTAAAAATCCCAGCTTTTCGGATCCCATCTCTTTTTAAATGCTTTAGGGCTCTTCCTTTTGCAGAATGTCTTTGCTTGATGAGAGTAATTACCTATCTGACAGACCAAATGATAGCAGGACAGGTAATGACTGGTAATTAACCAGCGGAGTGGCAGCTCCCAAGTCTTAGATCTTGCATCTCTTCAATTACAGCTAATTACTCAGGGGGTGGTGAGAGGGTTGCTTTTAAAAAAAGAAAAAACTTGTTACCTGTTCTGTCTTTCAATGGCAGGTCTATAGGCATTGTTACGCCTCCCATTGGCGCCCCCTCTCTGCCTCTATCTCCATCCTTTCCTGCTGTGGATGCATTTAGTCTGTTCCTCTGTCGATTCCTATGGTTTTCCAAGGCCTTTACCTTCCGAGCATGTTTATGACCTTTGTAGTGGGCCTCGGCCTGGGTCTAGCCATGACACAAATGTCCGCAAACATGAAGACAAAA